GGAGATTCACTATTATACCAAATATAGAAGCCCAAATGATAAATAAATAAAAAATCCAATATAAAATGAAATTTAGGAACACACTCAAAACCCATTTATAACATAACAAATAGGCTTCAAATTTCCTATACAAAACTTACTACTTTTTCCTTTTATGTGGTAACTAAACATACAGAAGAAGGAAATAATTGTCAGAGAACGAAATAAGTGTTGCTTTTATAACTACTTTCTTCGGCCATTCATTAGTATCTCACATTTTTCTTGGTCCTTTACTTACTTTTTGCAGCAACTTTGGCACGAATCTCGCAACAAGTAATTATGTGTGGGAAAACGTGTTTGCAATTCTAATTTCTGTTACTGGCTTGCTATTATTTATATATCTCATTGGAAATCTTCAGGTTAGTAATAAATCTCTCTCTTTGATATCTATTTGGTTTACTTTCAATTACTTTCCTTCAGCTTCAGGGGCGAACCTCTATCTTATGTAAACGTATATTATCTTCTATTGATGGATCCCATGCATAATTTTATTTGAGATAACGTTGTGAGGTTCACTAAGAATTTTATTTCAACTATCCGAACTGTCAGCCTTTGTGTCCTTTTAAAAAAAATTGATCTTGAAAACCAATAAGGCATCAAGTTTGGACTAACAGAATAAACGAGTACAATGCTTTAAGAAAACACTAAAATGATAAGCATTAATTTATTGGTCAAATGATTTTGGATCAAGTAATTTTTTACATAGATTTTTTTTTATAGCAATACTTCAAAGTTAGATGTTTGGATCATTGATATACACTTCTAATTTACTATTTGTGCTGAAATGTACTTTCAGACATTCAATCAGATGAGAACTACCACACAAGAGGAAATTAGGAAGAAAATTAGGAAGAAGATTGAATCAAAAAAAGAAGATATAAACACGTGGATGAAGAGATATCATATTGATTATGAAATGAAGAAGGAAATCATGAAAAACATAAATAAAATATTATTGGAAGAGGACAAAGATGCTGAGGTGGAGAATCTATTCAATGTTCTTCCCGGTTATATGAAAAAACATCTAAAGCGTCTTCTTTGCCTCAAAACTCTATCACAAGTATGTTTCTCAACCTCTCTCTTTCAAGTATTTGTATGTATATTATTATTTATTAAAAAAAGAAATAATATGTTGGATTATTATCCGAGTTAATCAGTTCAAATCCAATATTTATATATTTATCAAATAGAGACCAGCACATTAGTCTAATTTACAAGGAATTAATTTGTATTGTTGAACTTATATAGATGAATGAATCTTGGTTTGTGTTTAAATATCGGTCGATTTTAAATACAGGTTGAACTCCTTCAACTTATGGATGACAGTGTGCTGATAATGATGTGCGACTGTCTGAAGCCAGTGACGTACGCAGTAGATCACATCATATTTCCAAAGGAGCACCCAATTGATCGCATGCTTCTCATTATAGAAGGCACTGTATGGACCTACGGCACAAGTGGTGAAGAAACTGCTACCAAGGAACTTGGGAAAGGTGATGTTTATGGAGAAGAGCTTCTGATGTGGGCATCGCCCTACAAAGCTGGGATTGACAACCTTCCTACCAGCAACGAAAATGTGAAATGTCATACACAAGTAGAAGGCTTTGCTCTCTCAGCCAAGGATTTGCTAAAGGTAGTCTCCAAACACGAACAGCGGTGGAAGTTAAACTTGGACCCCTGATATATATATATGTATGTATGGTAACTTAGTACACTAAATACATGGTAACCTTCGAAGTAACTAGGATATCCAGTTTTTTTTTTTTTATTTATAAATTTTATTTTAAACTTGTGTTTTTGAGTGCTTGTATCGTACTTATATGTTTAGAATTATCTCGTTTTCGAGTGCTTGTGTTTTTTTTGGTAAATATTTAATTTATAGATGACCAAGAAATTGTTATTAATCATATGGTTTTTGGGTTAATTAATTTCAGATAGTTATTGAAAATCTTCTACCAAGATTCCATTTCATGATTATGCTGCATGCAGGCCTACAACATTATTTTGGTTGTTTTTTTAAACACATTCCATAAAGAAGAAAAACATAAACTTGAAATTAAATCTTGTATATGTCGAAAACAGCTTGGGGTTTATATTCCAAGGTTTGCACGCTTTTTAATTTAATTACATAAATCTATAATGGATTGGATCGATCTGAAATTTATATACGTGAACAGTCATTCCTTCTTGCACGAAATTATATATATTCCAGAAGAACCAACAAATAGATGAGAAGCTGATGAAACTTATTGATGTATGAAACGATTGATCAATTATATTTAATAACCGGTGGATCAAGTAGGCTTCGGCTACCTTGCTTTACAATTGCTTGGTGTGTATAAATAATGTGCTACTCTCATTTTCAACGAAAAAAGAAATGTGAACTACTCAGTAGTTGCTTGACTTTGCGCTGCCACTTATTGACGGTATATAATTACAAAGTCCAACGTATTAAATATCACATTTTAGTACATTCTAGAAATAATATGGACGGTTTAGATGTGGACTCAAATGTAAAGATTAATAAGCTAACTAGATCTTAGTCTAGTGGTTTCAAATTCAAGTCTCCTCGCATCTGTTGATTAAAAAACAAGACCAATGAAGATGAGAGGTGGACAGACAAAAAATCATTATAGATTAGTAAAGCATTCTCTTTCCTCTTCTATGCAAAACCCCTTCTTCAAAGTCGTCTTTTTCTTTTCAATGACTCCTTCATACTTCCACACCAGGTATCGATTTCTCTATTTTTCTTTTTCTTTTTAATTTTTTTTAACTGTAATCTACTAGTTTTCATTGTTGTCCATGTTCTATTTGTGGGTAAACTACTGATTTGCAGTATGGGATATTTATTTTTCTTTCCCCTGTTATCCTTGGTTTTTTTCTTAGCTTAATCTTTAAAATAACTTTTGAACTTTTATATTACCTAGAATATATATATATCTTCTTACCTTTTGAATTTTGTTATTTTGTTATATGAAATACAAAAGGTTGTTGATTTGGATCATGGAATCTGATTGTCAAAAGGAAAAGTTAGAAATAAATGAAGAGGAAAAGTTATTTGACGGTGATGAATTAAGAGTGGGAATTGAGGTGTGTAATGAAGTTGAAGCATATAATCTATGCAACTCTTACGCATTAAAGAAAGGATTTAGCATTCGAAAAGGAAATATTCAAAGAGATGCGAAAAAAAATCCGACAACAAGACTATTTGTGTTCAAAGCAATGGTTTTATGATGACCTTTGTGAAGTGAAGACAGTTCATCAATTGGATATAAGGACAGGATGTAGGGCTTTAATTCGATTCAATGTGGATGATGGTGTGTGGAAGATAAGTCATATAAATTCATATCATAATCATGAGTATGCTATGCTTGAAGAAAGACAATTTCTCAAATATGGTCGGAAGATACAAAAGGCTCACACAAATGTTATGTCTTCTCTGGTTGAAATAGATATAAGGCCAACAAAGTCATATTTATATTTGGCAAAAGAAGTTGGTGGTGCTGAGAATGTTGGGTTTACTAAGAAAGATTGTCTCAATTATTTGCATAGGAAGAAGGAAGAATTGATTGAACGAGGGGATGCACAAAGTTTGATCAATTATTTTAAGCATAAACAAGCTGAGGATCCTAATTTTTTCTATAGTGTTCATTTGGTATAGGAAAGAACAAATGCGAAAAGATATAAGCTTCAACTTTTAATTCCAATGCCCTTTAAATTTAAAACTTGCTAGATTAAACCTATTCCACAGTAAAACCAAGGACGAAAATATTGGCCGATACATGTCTGGTCAGTTTAGTTTTACTTTACTTCTTTTCATAGGCATATTAGTTTAATTTACATGTTAACATGCTGCATGCATCATATTCTAACCTACAATTTTGACCTATTGTTCTACTCGAGCCATTTTTGGATCCAAACGTCTAACGTAAAATTCTCGTAAAATTTTCCACTTTAAAAATAATAAATCATTGTAACCTATCTACATGCTAGCTAGCTTATTTCAGTTTTCCCCTATCTTCCTCCCTTCCCTTTTCACTAATAACAATTTTTAAAACTTAAAAATATTGATTAATATAAGGAAGAAGACGCAAATAAAATATGTTATTTTATTGTGGTAATGTATAATCATAGTATGGACTCAAGAAAGTTGAAGTTCCATTCGAAAACCACTTGGTAATGGGAGGAATAGGTACACCTTATAAGCCCTTGCAAGGTTTTCTAACTTTCCAATGTGAGACATTTTCGCCTTCACATTCTCACCTGGACCAGCTAGATCAAAAACAAAATTTATTGATGATACGCTCTATATAATTTCCTTTTTATCCAAATTATAAAATCAAACTTTGGTTGTGCTTTTTGCAGGCACCAGTGGAGGCTTCTTGCTTTTACTGGTTGCAAATACATGGATATAATGGGGAATGCAGAGAAGAAAGTTCATCAAACTCAAACAAAAATACTTTAAAGAAAATGGTGGCTTACTGTTACAACAACAACTCGCTAGTCAAGGAGGCTTTGTGGAGACAGCAAAAAATTTCACTGCATATGAACTTGGGAAGACCACAAACAATTACCATGAAAGTAGAGTCCTTGGAGAAGGAGGCTAAGGAATAGTTTACAAAGGAATATTACCAGATAACAAAGTGGTTGCCATAAAGAAGTCCAAAGTTGGTGTCCAAACCCAGAAGGAGCAGTTTTGTTAATGAGTTGATTGTTCTTTCTCAAGTCAACCACAGAAATGTGGTGAGGCTATTGGGCTGCTGTTTAGAGACATCTGTGCCTTTACTAGTTTATGAGTTCATCACCAATGGTACTCTTTTTGACCACATCCATAACAAAAATGGCAAAGGATCATCGTTTTCGTTGGATTTGCGATTGAAGATCGCAGCAAGAAACAGCAGGAGCACTAGCATACTTACACTCATCCGCTCTCATGCAAATCATACACCGAGATGTGAAAGCTACAAACATACTGTTAGATGACAATCACTCGGTGAAAGTGTCAGACTTCGACGCTTCACGATTGATCCCTTTGGATCAAGCACAACTAACAACTTTAGTACAAGGGACGTTTGGATACTTAGACCCCGAATACTTCCTTACAAATCACTGAAAAGAGTGACGTTTATAGCTTTGGGGTCGTTCTTGTAGAATTACTACCAAGCAAAATGGCACTTTCTTTTGACAGGCCAGAGGAAGAAAAAAATCTTGCGAACTTCTTTGTTCATTCGATGGAGGAAGACTGCTTGAACCAAATTCTTGATGATGGCATATCTTGCAAAAAGATGTGGCGAATCTTGCAAAAAAATGTTTAAGGTTAAAAGGGGAGGAAAGGCCTATCATGAAAGAAATAGCATCGGAGCTAGAGGGAATGAGAGTTACGGTGAAGCAGCATGCATGAGAAATGCTGATATCTGTCTAGAAGAGACTGAGTACTTGCTGGGGTCACCAATTAATTCAGAAGCTTTTAGAATATGTTCGTCTCTAACAAACACTACATTACAGCATAGACTAATTAACACAAGATAAACTAATTAATAAACTGCATGCAGCAGAGACTAATTGCTACATCAAAAAGATTTGCATGAAATTTAAGAGACTGGCAAAAGAAAATTGATCTATAACATGTTACTTGTTTATGCTTAATCAATGGTTTTGCGCAATTATACAACATGTTACTTGTATAGATGGTCAATTAGTTCTTGTTTCGAGATTTACTAAATTGCATGGGGTATTCTGGTCGAAAGAAAGCGAATGGCATCCGTAAATCAGAAGGAAACAGACTTCAATCAGCAAACCGTTGCTAATCTTAATTTTTAATTGACGGTTTTGATCTTTAGCTGCGGCTTGTGACGGTTTCATGATCTTTAGTGACAAAATTAAGGTCCCATTTTTGCATATTAGAATTAGCTGCGGTTTTTTTCGTCGCAAAGCGCGGCTAAAAGGGCTTCCACTACGGTACAGGAAAACCGCCGGTAAAAGTAGAAAGCAGTTTTCAACTCCTTCCTCCCTTTGACGGTGTGGTATTGTTGAAATTTTAAGATTTTATTTAGTTCGTGTTTTATGAAAATTGTTGGGCATATATATTTCTAAGGTGTACAAATTGTTGTGGTATATATATATACATGTACATATTTTGTTGTAAATTACAGGAGAAAAAATAAAATATTCACCATCCATTTATAAGCAATGCAAATCACCACAAAATTGCTTTCCTCAATGGCTTGCACGGAAATGCGCACAAGCTCGCTCACAGGGATTTGCCTACTAAACAATACGGCCGTTGGAAAGCAAATGTAAGCCAATCCATTTGTGCACAGGAACATCAAATGCATTGTAGCAAGACTCAAGAAGATAGCAGAAATGAAATTTAAACATGATGAACTTAATGTCCTTCCCCCTTCTCTGCCAATGTCACCTTTGCTCTAAGATAAATTTGATCCAATCTTGAAATAGAAAAGTTTGGAGGGCATAATTAAGGAATAATTATACTACTAGATTTTGGTAGTTGACAGGGATCAATATTCCACTTCCCAGACCATATTTAAGTTCATAACCTTAACTTCTTGTATCCTTCTATTGGAACAGACACAGATAAAACCCCACGAAGAAGGTAACTTCCATATATACAAACGAAGTGTTTTAACTGAAATTCAAACTCATAATTAGAGGCCAGAAAATCAATCTAAGCCCCACAAAATTAAAAATGAAGTTTCTTTTAAAATGGATCAATAACAAGATCTACCTTAGAATTTAGCCAAGCCTTCAGCAAGTGATTAAGAAAACCAGAGGAGCTTGAAACGAGGGTTTTAACAAGAGTGTTTCAAGAAAGAAAAAAAGCTTGG